TCAATGAACAAGACAAGCTCAAACACGACCTAATTTCAAATAAAGCTCTGTTTGATTAAATGCTTTTTATTTCTCGCTTCACAACTTTTGTCTACTTACTGAATAATTTGCTGGAAAAAATACTGATCTATACATTTCAAATCTAAATTTTCACCATGCAACGACAGGTAACTCAGCTAGTATACAACAAAATAGTAACTACCGAGGTTTTTATTTTGTTTTATAATCTTTTGTAAAGACTTTCCTAAATTTGAGAAATGTATATCAAAGCTATAAAAACCGTGCTTGTAAGGCATTATAAAAAATGCTGTTTATCATTTTCAAGTACTGCACATACAAAGGAAAAAAGTATAATAATCAGTGCTTATAAGCTACATATAATGCAGAATCATTTCATGAACATTCAACTCAATCTCTAAATTTTTTATTCATCTTAACAAACTACAACAATATACAATCATGCCATTTATAGCAGTTACTTTTTTTTCCTCTACAGATAACTGTATTTATATTTAGACAAAAGTGGAATATTTCAAGTGTATAAACTTATAAAACAAAATTTATACTTTAAATACATATACCACTCTTACTAACAACAGCAAAATTAATAATTCTTCACATTTTAAATTTACTACACTTGAAACAGTTCACCTACTCACTCTTCACCATAGACAAATATACATTAGCTTTTTAAAAACCACTGTTATTGTGTTCTTCCTGTTGTATTAATATTATAGATTGAAGTATAAATTTAGTAGTACAAAATTAGGCGATACTTAGAAGAACTTCTTGCTTGTATCAAGAGAAGGTTTATTGGATTAACGTCTCAAAACAGATAGCATGATTATATTTGACACTTCTAATGCTTGAACAAATGTAAAAATTACAATTACAAGTTATTAACTCCCTCTCGAATTAACCACCTCGTAACCACTTTGTGCTCGTTATAGTTTGCATACTATAACTTTTAATAGTGTATATCAAATCTTTTTTAGACTAGTCAGAGTACAAAGTGAATTTCAAATTTCATTTGCATAATAACCTTCAAAACATCCTAAATAAATATAAAACTTTATATTTTATCTGTTATTACTTTACCCTAACAATATATTTGATTCTTCAGTCAGTAGACAAATGATCAAAGTATAATGAAAAGTTGTAAAATCAGAAATAAGATGAGCAGCTATGCTCTTTTTTCTTTATTATTGGTCACAAAGTTTTAAAATACTTCTTTTGAGAGTTTGAACTACTAAGCATTTAATATTTATTTCCTGTATTCATTTTACTGGCAATAACTGAAGTAGAAATCCACTGAAAATAAAGCAACAGATCACCGCTTGTGTCAGTAGACTGTTTATGTGACACTGTAATACGATACTCTCGAGAGCAACAAAGCACGCACAAAGAAATAAGCCAACTTGACCCCTGCTCTCAGAACATGATGTGGAATCTATAAGCTTTTGTATCCTACAGTGTTTATAACGAGACTTCCCCACAGTAATATGGTTGCACTGTGAAAATGTTTATTATATGGTTCAGAGCTGATCCAATAAAAATTGCCAGTGCAAGTATTGGTCATCCTTCTAGGATGTTTGGAATTTAGTGTTATACCATATAGGCATACAAAGATATTATTTGTGTGCATGGTTATAAAACCCTATTTCCCTTTCAGCAAACTTATTCATCAACTGATAAATAATAAATACTATTTATTCACGAATGCTTAAACTTTAGTTATTTTCATTAAAACATAGAAGAATAAATAAACAAATATTTGGAATACTGACAGTGTTATGAGATTTTGTGCTCATGCATCATACATGCTAAGTCATTTATTCTCCCGAATGGAGAATGAAGAGATATTAGCTTTTGTAGGCTTCAAATATACATTTTAGAAAACAAAATAATTAACTTCCTATATTGATGCACACAAAACTCCTGTAATTTATTTGGGTTTCTACACAAGCTATATATGACCAAAAAAATCTTATATCTGTTCAGAGCAACAACTTTGTCATCACACTTCAACATTTTTGGCAAAATTATGACTTTCTCGTTCAAGCTGTTTACAAACGACTATCAGATTTACATAACACGGGAAACTCCTCTTTCTCGTGGTAGTAAACAGTCAAAAGAAGTAAATACGACTAGACAAGACGTTTCAAATGGTGTTGTGGGAGGAGCCATTCAGCTAGATTGGCTAAATATACTGACATCTCAGGAAATCAAAGAGGTGGGAGGTTCTTATTTTATATTCTGGCTTACCTATATCTCAAATTCGATTTTCTAATTCGGTAACCACTGTACACATTGCATGGTAAGTGCTATGTGATAAACAAAAACTGATATTTAGCTTTTTTTCTTTATATTTCCTTTTAAATTAAGAAATTAAAACATATATATTATTAAAATTTCAATTATAAACAGAGTTTGGATGCAATTCCATTGACATAAGTAATAGTAAAGTTATTTAATAAAATTTTGAAAATAACTCTCTAGAAGGTCATAACATGCACTCTTTAACCTGCCTGCAGCAAAAGGGTTAAATACTAATTTTTAAATTACGGAATTAAACTTTACCTGATCTTCATTCAAGTATGAAGGCAAGCCACCAATAAAAATCTTATGTGGGGAATCTTGTACTACAGTTGACACAACACCTATTTGAAATATAACACATTTTATTAATATACAGTCACATCTGCGTACAATAGTCCAATACATATAGTTTAATCTTACTAATAGTTTATGAAAATACTGTTTAATTAATAAATAAGTTTGTGTTTGAGACGTCCAATCAGTTAAATTTAAAGTTTTAAACCAAGGTTTGATTTAAGAGTTTATAAAAGTTTCTTTTATCAATTAAAAAATCATAGTTTGCTATGTCTAAAATAGTTATTTATAATATTCGTAAGAAATATCCGTTTCCACTTATCTAATGTCTATTACAGGTACGTGAAAGATAGTTTCAATCATTTCTTGTATATTGATATCAACAAATACCATATTTTAGGATTTCCAATATTTCAACAATGATTTTAAACTAAACAAACACACACACAGATTAAAGTAGACATCTAATCTACATATGCGTGTGTGTGTGAGCCACATGAAGATTATACTTGTGTCGCATGAATCAACCCACTTTTAAAATTTGTATCCTTAGTATCTTCATTGGTATCATAGTAAAATGCTGGTTCCCTCACCTGCTACTAACCACACTGTTGTATATCATACAAAATTAAAATGTCAATGCCACTAAACCTCCAATTTTAGACAATGTTCACTTCAAAAGATTTTAACTTGAAGTGTATGTAGTACATCTATTTCACAAATAAAAAGACTCATGCATGAGCAGTGTTTATGATGTGTTATACTGAAGTATATACATTTTTATCTTTAAATGTGTTCCCTCTGTGGTATGTTGCTTTTCAGGGACAAATAAACTGCATGTCAAACAAGCCAAGCAATAAGATTAAAGAATTAAACTGTAGGTGAAATGGCAAACAGGTATGACTGTGAATATATTAGAAAAACACAATATTCCAAAATGACACCTAAAAAGAAGAAAAAAAAGGCATTGTTGATTTCATTTCATAATTTTCAATATTTCGTTTTACTGTATATTGATCATTTAGTTATAGTTTGGTGTTACAGTACAGAAAATATAGATGAAATACAAACTTTTGGAGAAAAAAAACATATATTTTTTTTCATGTGTATTATTATCATAAAAGAAACTAAAATAGAAATTTATTAAGTTAGAATAGGTAAGATAATGAAAGAAAATATATAAATAAAAGTTTTCACAAGGTATGCTTACGAACAGCTCGTGTGTTATGTAATTGAAATGGTAAAATGAGCTGCACATTCATCGAGTGATTTACAACTTGTGTGGTGGGATTATTAGTTATACATCTTTCAAAAATCACTAAAACAATAAAATTAAATATAAATAAATGTATATTGTTACGAGCTTTAGGCTATTTAGGATAAACAACTGTGGTTTCCTGTTACAATTTGGAATCATTATAGAAAGATATAAGTGTAATTTAAATTTATTTACTAATTTCTATGGAGGTTATGAGGTCGGTCAAATCAATCAACCCCTTACAGAGTTATAGTAGAGAGAATCACAGATAAAATATAAAAAAATTTTCTGAAAAAAAAGTTTGATATTTACTTAGGAGGGTTTAGAGACTGCATAAAAGAAATTTGAAAGTTTTCAGATGAAGAAAAGCATTTTTAATCTTAACATGAAAATCACTTTGCACTCAGAGCAGTCAACACTCTGACTCAATATATTTATGGACAAGTTTTTAGTAAAAATATTTAATTAAAAATTACAAAAGACTTGTAATGCTTATCAAAAGCTTGAAAAATTTTGTGAGGTTACATTAAGTACTTTCAAGTGTTATAGTATGTATATCTTCATGGTTACCTCATTAATCAGTTGTGGCTATGTGTTGTTTATCCTATAAAATGTTATTTTAATTTTAAATTAACTAGATGTTTACCATATTAAAGTCATGGAAAAAATCAGTAATTGGCCTGTTTTGTTGCTACTTACAACTTTTAAACTACAAAGGTTCTATTACATAAGCACAACAAATCAAAATTTATAGGAGCAACACAGTGATAAAATAAATTTATACAATAGTGAGTACTGTACATACTTCACTCATATGTACAATAAACATGCAGGTATTCACAGCTTAAAAAAGAAAAGAAAAAACTGGACAACTCAACACAGCATAATACCTGAAACAGCACTATTGGGTTGTTCAGACATTCCAGGCATTGGCTGGTAATCATGCGGTCTGCGAATCTTCAAACTCTGACCTTTGAAATTGATACCATCAAATGCCATGGCTTGTGTTGTTTCATCAATGGAGCGAAACTGGAGAAGTAATAAGAATAACAAATCACAGAATAAAGTTATCATTTTATTTCTCAAGCCACGTGTAATTGTGAAGTTAAATCTATAAATTAGTATTTGTTTGTTTCTAGTTAAGAACAAAGCTACACAATGAGCTATCTGTGCTCTGCCACCACGGTAATGAAACCTGGTTTCTAGTGCCATAACTCCACAAACATACCACTGTGCCACTGGGAGTCTATAAATTAGTAAAGAAATGTTTTTTGTTTTTTTTTTAGATTCAGAAATAACAAAAATGTAATATGATAGAATGCACTGAAATAATAATGTCTACAGCTCTATTTTCCAAAGTTTTTCATTCAACATTCCACAGATATTAAATCCTATCTACACAATCTTTTTTGTGTGTTCCATTGAGCAACATGAAATTCTCTGCCTAACTGAGCCTTTTGTTCCATCAAAAAAATGCACATCTTACATATGAATATTTTAAGTTCTTGAACTGAAAATTATACTAAGTACATAATTATTTTGCTTAGTTGTACTCTAGAAAATTTATTATCAATGTAGAACGAAGCAACATGTTCAGCCTTGTTTCTACCTGAAGTAGTTCATAATCAAATATTTTTATTCAGTATTATAAGTAACATTAAAAGGCAACTGATCTTATTCATTGTTCAACATTTATAAAATGTTAAAATACCATAAACTGAATATTTTCTAAAAAAGCACTAAATGTAGGCCTTTTTTAAAGTAACTGAAAACTTAAAATGGTTCTGTAGTTTCAATCCATACTCAAAATATACATATTTTTAATTTACAAGGACATTATATTTTTAGGTTAACTTGATGTGATAATACAGAGAGATAATTCTAATTATGAAGGTAGCATTGAAGACGTATCTTTTTTATGGCATTTGTTATTAACATTTTGCACTGTGTTCCAAATGTTTATAGGACAGAATGTGTGATTTAATATACAAATACATAAATACAAAAGTTTACCTTTAAGCATTAATTACAGAACGTATCATTTTATCAACCTTTATTCTTTTAATTATAACTTTTAGTTATTTATGATAACATCTTTGTAAATGTATGCTAATCGTTTATTTATTTATTTGTAGTAGTGGTAGTAGTAGTAATACGAAAAAACAAACAAACTTTTACATATAATTCCATATTACTTACTTCCAGGAAAGCAAAGTTCTTATCTAAATTGATCTGACAAGCAAGAACAGGGTTTCCTTGGGCCTGTGAGAAATGAGAGGCATGCATCTGACTGTTGAAAAAAGCCATCATCTCTTCCTAAGGAATACAATGATAAATAAACATATATACATGGTTACATGGTGGTTACCTTATATGTATACAAGTCTGTTTTATAGCAGTTAACCACTTCTTAATTACCACTGGCGAGTATGACATATGAGTGGTGATCTTTCACTTAATGTGACCACTATAATCATGTTAATCAATAAATTTTATTAGTAATACTAAAACAAACTATGAAAAAAATAAATAAACAAGATTATTTCAAAATTAAATCAAAATATAGTTACATTAGGCTTTTAACTTTTCTTCTAGCAAGGAACAACAGTTCATGGATGACCATCAGTTACTTACTATCAAAAGTTAACATTTTCGTAAAATGAAAATGTATTTCCGATAGATACTTACAAAATAACTTTTCTCACTTATTACTGCCCTCTATCTGCACAAATTTTGAGTGCTTGCCACTAGCCTTCCACCTCCTACTTCTGCACATCCATATGTAAATGATTATGCAGCAGCTCTCCACCAATAGGAGCAAGACACAACCTCTATCATAACCAATGCCCTCTCCAAACTTGCACTTCGTGATTGGTCAGAATACCTACACCTTATATCACTGGAAGTGGGAAGGCTGGGAGGAAAATGTGAGGGGAGGTAAGTATCTATCAGAAAAACATTTTTAGCTTAGGTAAATGGTAACTCCCAATGCAATATCTTATCTCTCCTCACAAAATAGCTAGAATCCCACACTGAAATGGTGGAGGGCCGATGAAACCGATCCTCCCACTAGGAAGTGTCTAAGGAGAGACCATGAGGTGTGTAACCAAAAAATAAAACATCACACATCTGATTCAGGTATACTCTTCACTCTTTTACAACTGTGTCACAAACATAAAAGGCAAAAAGACATGAAGCAATCCCATAATATGTATTACAGACTAATGGGACTCCTGGGTGTTGAGTGGCTAGGGCACAATAGACCACAGAGATAGCTCGACGTCATCCAACACTTGGCAGAATCTGGAATTGTATAACAATTCCGCAGTAGACAGAGGATCACTTATCTTTTCACCTCGCAATGGAAATTGGTAGGGATGTCAAGCTTCCGTATCAAAGTTTATCTCCACTTGTACACATTTTCAACACAATTAACATTAGATCTACTGGGAACCAACATCCTGAAGACAGTAGGAAGATGGAAAGCCTCAGCAGGATAACATCTCTGGTCCAAAACCTAACACTAAAAGGTATGGTACTTTCCAATCTGTGGTAGGAGGAGCATATCCAGCCATACACAAACAGGAAAACTAAAACCAACACCAGATCCACTGGGAACCAAGATCCAGCAGATGGTACAAAAAAGGACCATAAACCTGGGGTGCATCTCTAGTCCAAAACCTGGCAGCATTGGACATTTTTCATCCAGTCCGGAGGAATACCGGCCAGGAACACATGTGAGGAGTTACTCAGCTGGACCATCTCCAACCAACACCTCACCCCCCGGGAACCACATCTGGAGGATGGTAGGTAGGAGGAACATCTCAGCCTGAGGGGCAAACTCCAATATATATATATATAGTGACATGGCAGTATCTGGAATTGTACATCAGGTCCGCAGTAGGAAGGGTAGCACACCAACAACACATGATTCTAATCCTGTGGTAAAAAACTGATAAATGGCAATGACTCCCATACTCCATGAGATGAAAGGATGGAAAAATGCATTGGAGAGTCTGGAGGACCACACCACCGGAGACAGTGCAATGATAACCTATTTTGAAAAGTAGACTTACCACGTCGACATTGATCAACCAACACCCGGCAGAATCTGGAGTTGTACATTAGGTCTGCAGTAGGAAAGTCTCAATGCCATGGAACATCAGAGATGGGAAGCAATCCCTTTCTAATTTATTTATCTGTCCATGAGTTTATGGTCTGGGATGAACATATTTATGAAGCAAAAGACCACTAGACAGAATTACTAGCAGTCCTATGGAACACCCCATCTCTGCTTAACCTAATCCTGCAATTTAATTGTTTCAGCATAGATGACAATTAACGGAGACAAGCCACCAACATCTGGCAGCATCTGGAATTGTATACCAGGTCTACGGTAGAGCTACAACATAACTGACACCAAGCATCATCACAGGATGGATAGTGTATATTTAAAAAATATATATATACCTGATCAGGCACCACTCGCCACAGAGTGGGATCCACAATACACCAGCAAAAAAGCCTCTGAAAATAAGGAAATAACAAAAACATAGTAAAGAAAAACTAAATCTGTTGTATAAAGGAAAATGTTGACAAATTTTTGAGCAAAAACAAACTCATCTGTACAGTACTACTACTACCAATCAAGAAGTGATTAAGAAGTGCAAATGTGGAGAAGGTGCTGGTTACAATAGCGGTTGTGTGGTGCACCTATTGGTGGAGAGTTGCTGCATATTTTAGATAGACATGCAGAAGTGGGAGGTAGAAGGCTAGTGGCAAGCACTGGAAATTTGAGCCCACAGAGGCCAGTACTAATCAAGAAAAACTATTTTGTGCAAGGAGGTAAGATATTGTATTGGAAACGAAATTAATCGATAACAGCTTGATCTCTATTTTCAAACACTTTGAAAACTTATATAC